ACTCACCCATCCCAAGGCCTCCTGAATTCTCAGCCCATTACAGCAACAAGTTTCAATCCCATTTAAGTCTCAACAGCTCAGAAGCTCCAAGACTCATCATCTTAGTCATCTAAATTAGGCTGGGTAAAGCTCTGACTATAATCTATGGTCAGGGAGAATTCCTCAGCATCTGTGAACATGTAGAACTAGAAAGCAATTGATCTGCTCCCCAAATACAATGGTGGACATGCATAAAATGACAACTCTGGGTTTCCCATTCAAAGGAGGAAAACGAAAAATAAAAATGACCAAATCCAAGTGATTTCAAAATCTAACTACATAAGCCACATTAGGTTTTAAGGCCTGGGAATAAGCCACTGTGATTCAAGATTCTGCTATCTGGGCTTGCAGTTCTGTCTCTCCAGTCATTTTTCCCTCTTACTGAAGGATAGTAAATATTTGTAGATAAGTAGTTTTCTCAGCTTGTTTTCTTTCTGTAGAATTCTGGGAATAAGACAACTTTCTTTCACATCACCTTCTCTATATCTCCCTCAGTTCAAACTGCCAGGGTTCTGGTGGTGCAACATCCTCAAGAACTTCATGGGTCTCCTGTGTGTATCGTGGGACTTCACTGTTCCACCAGTTTTTCCTGGATAAACTCATCTCTACTCCTGGCTTCTCCTGAGATGGCTGAGCAAATTCATAAATCACATCCCTAATCTATTCAAAGAGCCATCTGTATGACTCAACCACTTTGACCCCTCAGTCCTTTTCCAGGAATTAGCAAATGGTTATTCAGCCACACCCTTGGCTTTCCTTCTACACCGTGCTTTCCTAGTAGCAAAGCTTTTAGTTTTAGTGTCTTTTACAATGTGGGTAGGCTGAGAATTTTCTCAAATCTTTTTTTTTTTCACTTAACAGTTCTTTCCTCAATTTATCTTTTTTCTCTCACATTAACAGAGTACACAATTCAGCTACGCTTTTTACTACTATATCATAAGGGTCACCTTTCCTCCAGTTTCAAACAAAATGCTCCTCAACCCCTTCACAAGTGGTGCCTTTTATGTCCACATTTCTGCCAATAATCTCTTTGTGGTGTCAGATATTTCCTACGACAATACAGCTTTTCTCTATCATGCTCTTCACGTTCTTCTGAGCCCTCCCCAGAAGTCTTTAATATTTGCATTTCTAACAGTGTGTTCAAAGCAACCTAAACCTTTTCTATCATTTCCTTGAAATTCTGAAAGTCTCTGCTCCCTTTCTAATTCCAAAGCCAATTCTGCATTTTTAGGTCCTTATTACAAAATAACCGTATTTCAAGTTAGAAAAATTTGTATTAGTTTCTTGTCACAACTTAGTATATTACCACAAAATCATGGCTTATAAAACAGAAGTGGCCAAAGTCTAAAACTGCTTTGAAGGACTGGATGCTGTGAGAGACTCTCTCTCCTTGGCTCTTCCCGCTTCTAGAGACTGCCTAACCTGGCTCACCGCTCCATTCTCCATCTCTGAGACAGCATCTTAGCATCCCTCCTTTCTGGCCTTGGCTTATATCTTTATATCTTCTTCTACCAACTCTGATTCTTCCTTCTCCTTCTAAGAACAGTTACGGTTCCATAATGTTAAGTGGATTATCAGACACAAGCTTAAATAGCACAGGGCTTCTCTTCTAAGGGAAACCCAAATTATAAATAGCAAAATAAAAGATAGATAATAGCACGTAGAGAGATAGATCTTTCTCAAATGAGAAGGGGATCAAGAGATGAAGGCAGGGAAGTAGGAGGGAAGGGAAAAGGAATGAAAAAAAGAAGAATGAAGACTTGTTATGTACATGCACTAATTCCACAAAGGAATGTAAACATCACGTACTGCAAACATGTTCCAATAAAAAAAATTCTCACTGCCAAAAAATTTTATTTTCTATCTTAGGGTTTATGATTATACTATCAAAAGTGTAACATTTTTACTTAACTTCTTCCTTTCAAACGGCTTCTTAGGTCTATCAGGTTCAACCCAGAAGATGTGCTTATGTTTCTTGGAACTTAAATATATACCTGTGATTGTTCTGAAGTGGTCTCAGAGTGTGATCCATTTGTGATACTAATGACACTTAAAGGAGATACTTCAAATATATGATCATCTAGGGCTGGAACAGATGTCTCAGTTGTACTGAGAAAAGCAAATTTATGTTCGTGTAAGAGATCACTCTAGGTGCACGAATAAACACTAAGTTTCTTTAAAAAAAACCAGAATAATTATGATTATATTGGGCTGACCTGGCTAATACAGGATATCTCTTAGATTCTAGAATCTCTAGATTCTTAATCAAAACCAAGTCTATGGATCATAATGAAAAGTATACAGGGACAGAACCATGGATTACCAAGTACTGGTGGAAAACCATAGTGGAGACACCTAATGGTCCATTCTTCACTTCCCTTTATAGTACTTATGTCCCAGACTGCTAGGAAGCCAGGGATACAGTCCTCATCCACTAATGACAAATACGATAGCAAAAAAAGATATTTAAAAAAGATAGAAGTATGTGTGGTGGAACCACTTGGAACACTCCAGGGAAAGAGGTTAGGGAAGCTACTTGGAGTAATCAGGAAGGGTTGGTTTTAAAGGAAGATGAATGTGGACACTGAGAGCCACAGAGGAGTCTGGGACAGCACAGAGAGGGTGAGTGTTCTGAAAGACTGTCAGAAGGACTAGGGGTAACGTGAGCAGGGGCCGCACCATGAAAAAGTTCATACTTGAATATTCAGATTGTCCTTTGAAACAAAGGGGAACTACTGAAGGAGTTTATGATGCTTCTGACAAAATGTCAAAATGGTTCAAAGCTGGAAGCAGAGGGCAGTCAGGAAACTGTGCCTTTAAGTCAGGAGAGATTTTATAAGGAGCTGAGTGGAGACAAAAGGAGTACCACTGAGAGGGTGGGCTCTTGGGCCCAACTGCCTTTCTGTTTTGCAAAGCAGCTTCTGTGCTCCAGCCTCCTCACCTGTGAAGTGGGGGTAAAAGTAGTCCCTGCTTTACGGGGTTGCCTGTTATGCAAGAAGTGTATAACAAACGGTTGCTTATATTGACAAAAAATTAGTAGCTCTGGGAATAGAGAAGAGAGATTGGAGAGTTGTCAGAGAATTAGTGAATGCCTATTACATTCTAGCATCTTGTTCAGCTTTGAGGGATACAACGATTGCAAATGCCAGAGAAACAAAAGCCAAAAGCTAAATGATAACATAAGAGGTGTAAGATTTGAGGTCAACTGAATTCATGGGGAAAATGGAAGAGAAAAAATAAATAGCCAGAATTTTGGCTTAGCTCTCAGTAGAAAATAACAGCAAATGAAAAATACAGTAGGGTTAGGGCTACTGGTAAGAGGGTGAAATTTGGATAAAAACAAGTACTTTTTTTTCACTGTTAAGAGTGCATAATAGATTGGTAGATATTCCAAATAAAGGTAGTTTTCTGGGTAAGCCAAAAAACCAAACCAAAACAGAACAAAACAAAAACTTGACTGGCTATTAATGCAGAAGTCCATTTAAAAAGTAACAAAAGTTAAGCTTCCAGGGTTACATCTGGATGGTCCAGTCAGGAGAAACTGGAAGAAAATACACTCTTTCTGAACAGCTACATTACAATGTGTGGTATTTAGACAATAGGCTTTATATACCACATATACCACGTGTGGAGCCCATTCATAGGTACTCATGCGGAAGCAGGGCAAGTGACAGCCTGGTTGTGTGTGTGCGCATGTGTGTGCGTGCGGGGGGCCTTTCAGAATGCACTGCAGGTGGAGGGAACACCTGCTGGAGGCCTGGACACCTGAGGGCCTGGTGCATTCAGAGAAATGCAGAAAAACCATGTAGGCTTATAGCTGGAGTATGGAGTCTAGGGAGGAAAGAGAGAGGAGATGAATCTGAGCTGCGAGCCGCTGCCACACTCCACCGCCGTGGGAGACAGATGAAATTTTTCTGGGAGTGACAGGGAGCCTCTGGAGGCTTTTCAGTAGGGAAGTCATATGAGCAGATCTGGGCTCCAGAAAGATCACTCTACAGAGCTCGAGTGAGAACCTAGAGGTAGGAAGGAGCCTTCTTAGGAGTCCAGTGGAATTATCCTGTGAGGGAAAAAAGGGTGGGATTTGTACACTGTGAGACTGAAGCCAGTAGTAGTAGAGACTTGAGGATTCTGGAGAACAGAGAAATTTCAGTTCTCCACGACAATCCAGAGGGAAGTGCTGATGAGGAGAAAGGCAAGCAGAGAAGCCAGCTAGACAGTGAGAAGACAGAGTACAGTGAAAATGCTCCAACCCTTGTTGAAAGTGCTAGAAACTCAAACTGATTTATCTCAAGTAGAAAAGTAATGTATTGGCCTTGCCAATAGGAATGATCTGATCTGGCCAACTGGATCCAAGGAGTCAAACAATGCCCTTTCTTTCCTTATCTCTCATTTTGCTTGCCATCTTGGTTTCATTTACTTTATGACTCCCTGGCAACTTGAGATTCAGTCCACACTGAATAATAAACTCCTTTTTTGCTTCACCACCTCCTGTCTCTCTCTAATTGGACTCCTGAGGCAGCAGGTGGTCAAATCTGGTCTGCTGGGATCACCAGTGTCAGGCCTGACCTAGAATTCCAGTAACAACTACTTATATAGTTTAATTCAGATACATCTGCATATATATTTAAGTCATATACTATGTAAAACATTATATTAATTTAGAAATACTACTTTTTCACACTCACATTTTCATGAAACAATTTCAACTTTTCTGATGCCTCTGATATCAGAGTTTTCACAATCATTTAGCATTACTAATTTTTTGTGTCTTCTCCTTTCAGGATGTATCATCTTTACTTCTAATTTGTTTGAAATAAAATGCACTTTGAATCCTTAATTCTAAGCTACCAACAACACTCTGCATTGTCACTTATTGTCTTCTTCATTCAAAGTAACTGTTAAATGGCTCTTTATCAGGTATACAGAAATAATGAATAATTGGAATAACATTTTTTTTTCAGAAACAAAATTAATTATGTTGGAAGACTTCTATAAGCATCTGGACCACAGACTCCAGCCAGTGTTTTAAACTACTATGTCTCTTGGTGTTCAAAATACTGTGCCATGGGACTAACAGACAAGGTGGCGTTCATTTTTCTTAAGAATTTTTTTTCATAAAATCTTGCTTGTGTTTTGGCATACCACAATGTAGCAGACACTTTTATCATGTGAATAGTAATTTAAAGGATATCTTTTGCCAAAATCTAAGGTTTCTTGATAAAATCTAATGAAACACTAGAGACTTCATTTCATTTCTCAAAATTTAATCCCAGTATGTTACTGAAAGCTCACAAATGTGAAGGCTGCTTCTGCTGTCCAACAGTCATTTGGTAGAAAACATGCTGAAGGCAACAAAACAAAACAAAAAACAAACAAATCAACATGTACTGGGGGCTCTTTGCCTATATGGATTTTCTCTCTCGACTCTTCTCAGCTCCTTCTCTCGTAGTTATACATTACAGAATATAAATTTCTAAAACAGAGCAAATCATGCTTAATTTACTTCTTACCAAGGGCACATATATATATATATATGTATTTTACCGATGTTTTCATCATAATTTGACAATGAAAAATAGCTTTTGAGTCTTTGTTACTTAAAGTTTCTTATAATTAAAAAACAATAACAACAATAAAAATAATAGTTACCATTGATGGAACCCCTCTCCTGTGCCAGACGCCACACTAGGGTCTTACGGCATTAACTGATTTAAGACAGATAAAATGCCATGCACAGGCCCCCGGTGGTACTACCCCCTAGTTGCCAGTGACTTTTGCTGTTATTTTTATCAGCTTTTTATCATTTAATCCTCATCATTATATGAGGTAAGCATTATAATTGAGAAGAACATTAAGGAAAACAGGCTCTGGAGATGATGTGAATTGCCAAGATGAAAGAGTTATTAGAGCTATTGGCTAAAATGGGATCAGAACTCTGTATTTGCATCTCTTTCAATATATACTTTCTTTTAAAAAATGTTTATTATTACATGTTCGCAGTACATAATGACTGCATTCATCATGGGGAGCTGGTACATTACATAACACATTTCAAGGCTTTTTACTTAAGCCCTTCCTCTCTTCTCTGCCTCTTCTATCTCTTGGTCCCCTTCTATTCTGCAAAAGATCTATCTCCCTCCATACATTTTGGAGGTTTCCCCTGATGTTCCAGTATCTAAAGGTGAGATTTAGGTCTGGATGAAACACATTATTTTAATGACACAGGAGAGAATCCCGGAAATGCTCCTATGGCCAGTGCTCAGAAAGAGTAGCTGCTCATGCCAGTTTAAAGCAGGTCAAGGTGGACAATGTAAAGAGATGATGTGCCCTGGAGTAAACAATAAGGAGTAGAGAGACCAGGAATAACTGGTAAGCCTTCTCTACAGGCTTTCACATTCAAATTTTCTAAAAGGTTATATATGGTGGCCATATAATACATTTATCCAGTGGTACGCCAAGCTGGTTCTTACTAGGGAGAGCCAATTGGTAAATATTTAGGAATTTTGTTGGCCAACTGGTAGTAGTTTGAATTCACCATTGTTGAGAGAATTTACACTATGGAGATTGGCAAACAGTATAAATCAGGACTTATTTCACTCTTGCCAAGAAGCTTGTTTACCAGCACTGTTATACATAAATCTTATTTAATAATTTTAAAGATTTGTTTGCTATCTTTACCTCATTCTTTGTTCTATGCTGATTCACATAGAGTGGCTTTATATAATTATGTAACAGTTTTTCTCTCAAATAAAAGGCCATTATATGTGGTCAAAAGGAAACTATAATCCCAGGGAATGTTTTGGATGGACTAGAGGGTCATCATGCTATTTTAAAATACAGGGTAAGACACTCTCAAAGCTTGGCTTCTCTGGCTCAGGCTTAGCACATATGGCTTCATCATGGTCGTCTCCACAGCACAGTGATCTCTTCCTGAGCTTTTAACGGTGAGATCCTTTTCCATTCCTAAATCACTGTTATATCCTCTATCTCCAAAAGAGCATCAACAGATCATGACCAGTTTCTATCACCAAGTGTTGTAGTTTTAGGTGTATAAGTGTTGTAGTTTTAAGTTCTTGTATTTTAATTTTTTCTCCTCCAAATTAGATAGTTGGCTACTTTGGTGACTTTCTTTGGAAGGAGAACACTGTAATCGGGAAATGAGTTCAATGTTTTCCTTGTTTAAACTTCCAAAGACGAGAAAAGCCACTCCTCACAAAATGTGAGAAAAGCAATAGAACTTTGCTAAACAGTGCACAAAAGGACTTTCAACCATGTCCTAAAAAAATGTGCACCCTTCCCTTTAATGACTATCATGAGGATGGAAATGAGAGAACTGGCAACATGAACTGCTGCATACTTTTAAGTAGCCACCACCTGCTCTGCTACTTCTAAAGTACTTGGACAACTTCACATCCTACAGAGGCCAGACAAAGCAGCTTGGCGCATTCCATCTGGCAAAGGAAAACTCAACGATGACATCCTCGCCTTCTGGGGAGAGCCACTTTCTCTCTCACTGTCCCTAGCTGAGACCTGTCACTCTGCTTACATATCTGTCTTGTCCTATCATGGACTATTTTAAATGTTTCAGCTTAATAAAATATAAGCCCTTTGATAGTGTCTTATCTGTCTTTGTTTATAGTAGATAACAGTGGTAGGCACTCAGTAAGTGCTTGAGGAGCAAATAATTGAACTTTGTCCTCCTTTACCTGTGTGCAACAATGCTCAGTGACTTCCATTTCACTCAAAATGCGGCTGGGCATAGAACAGAATGAATCTTGAAACTGGGGACCAAGTCTGGAGGACGGTATTTCCATTGTAGCCTTGACTAAAACTGTAATTGTGACTCCAGGGGAGATGGCAGTAAGGAAGAGCATTCATCCAAGAATATCAACATCAATACTTCTAAGTTGAGTTATAATAACCTCAGGGTGTTTTTTTTAATGCATTTTAATTTATTTCAAGGAAGGAATAACAGTATAACATGTATCATTTTCACTATCAGCCTTTATGTGATAATGATAATAAATGTCAACTGTGACTCTCATTTATAATGCTGATTATATCATGTGGGGTCTTCTACAGCAACCTAGAGTAGTCAAATTTATGAAAGTAGAAAGGTGGTGGCCAGGGTCCAGGGAAGGAAAGAATGGGAATTTGTGATCCATGGGTACAGAGTTTCAGTTCTGCAAAATTCTGGAGATAGACTGTAGTCATGCTTATGCACTATGGTAAATGTTCTTAATGCTCTTGCACTACATACTTAAAAATGGAAGATTTCATGTTATGTGTATTGTTTTCCCACAATTAAAAAATGTACAACAAATATTAGAGTGTTCAGTTCCAAGGCTCTCCTAACGTCTTTAAATATTTTCTTGCCAGCTTTGTCAAATCTTTTAAATGTCCTTTCCTTTTTCTTATATACTTTGAAATCAAAACTAAACATAAAAAACCCGATGTACAGATCTGTTAAATATTTACTTGCATGTTTACATAGTCCGTAATCTTATGTGTGCTGTGCCACATAATCCACTGAACAACAGTGATCTGGGGGCTTGGTTGTGTTGGAAAAACTTCATATGCCATAAAGGTTTGATATGAAGGACTTAGCAACATGTGGTCTCACATGTGCAGGGCCTTTCAGATGCTTGTGGACTTTGAGAACTCAGAGCAAACTAAGTTGATGAGAAAAATATGGCACTTGGTTTGTTTATGACTCCAATGCCAATCCACTTAACAGAGAGAAACCCCACATAATTTTCTAGTGAGAGGAAATAAAGTTAGAGCAGAAACCAAAAACAGCTGAAGGAACCACAATGAACGTAATGGCCCAACTGGGGAAGACCCGGTGTTCAGGAAACAGATTCACCATGGAGTCTAGAAAACCAGGGAGTTGAGGTAGCCAGATCTTAAAGAACTAGACTCTGCCCTTCCTGTCTTGAAATTACTTAAATTTTCAGAGCCTCAATATCTTTTATAAGTGCTATTATACCATTAAATGAGATAATGCAAGTGCCTGGAACATGATAGCTATTCCCTAATTTTTAGATATTATTATTATCTTCATGATGCATCATTTTGTTTTTATTATTAGTAGTAATAATAGTATAAATACACTTCAGAAAACTAACCAGATGGCCGGAAGCTTCATGTACACAGATGGGGCGTGTGGACTCTGGGCTTCAGGGATATGACAGGGTTTTTGGTTATATAACTGTTATGGTTTAAATCTAGAATGGCCCCCCAAGAGCTGATGTGTTGAGAGGTACAGCTTTGGGGAAGGGACTGGATCATGGGGTGCTGTACTCATCAGTGGAGTTCAGAGCTGAATATGCTGTTAGGAGCTGTGGCCCAGGAGGAAGAGGCAGGTGGCTAGAAGCATGACCTTAAAGGTATATTCCCTTCACTCTGATTCCTGGCTGTCATGTGTTGAGCACTTTTGTCTTTGCCATGCCCCCCTGCTATCCTGTTTCTGCCTTGGAGCCAGGTGACCATGGCCTAATATTGTGAGCCCAAATAAATTTCTTCTCCTTTAAGTTGTGAGTGGTGGGTATTTGTACTAGCCATCAAGTGACTAAGACAATAACCAAAGAGAGATGGTACAGCTTCTCTTCTACCTGGAGAATCTATACCTTTCTGCCAGCATCCTGGGAGTCAAATGGGGGATGACAACAAAGGGTCTTGGCATTTGGAGTAGGTTTTCATTTAAAAGCCTTGCCTTTAATAGAACCTCCTGTAAGGAATGGGGATGGCAATCCCAGGGTCTCTTTTTTAAACAACTTTAAATCAATCCTGTTATTTAAGCTTTGCCATTCCCTGCATTTACAGAGATATCTGATGGTAGAAATTCCTGAGCCTTTGTTGTTTCTATAGTATAACTAAGCTTTCTTGCATTAGCTAAGTCAGTTTTCACTCTCTCTGCTTTCCGACCAACAGAGTGTTGATACTGTGGTCTTCTGTTCTCTTATTATTTGAGGATTATTATTGTTAGTCTGCAAGTCCAACAGCTGTTTTCTACCTATTCCATGTAGTCCAGTGTAGGCATTTTGCATGTATTTTATAATTCTATAATCATATAACAGCAGTTGTTATTATTACTCTTATTTAGAGATGAGGAAACAGAGTTTCAACAATTTGCCCAATATCTCTCAGAGGGTTTCAACTCAGGTCTCACTGATGTCAGAGCCCAAGCCATAGATCATGACCACATCCAAGGGTAGTTGGTGAAATAATGTTAACAATGACTGCCAACCATCACTGGGCATTCACTATATACAATTCATTAACTGCAATAGATCTGTGAGAGAAGTATTATTTCTTATTAACCCATTTTATAGAAGAGGAAACTAAGTCATAGTGGTAATAGTGCCTGCCCAAGATCACAAA